GTTGTACATTTGCTGTTATGTTAAACTTATATTAACGTTTTTCTTCATTAGCCATTCAAGCCGTTTCCAACCACCATTAGCAGTCATATGTAGGCCCCTACACAATCCTACTAACGCTTCTTAAGTAAAGTAATATTTATGTTATCATAAATAAAATAAAGTCGTGTTTCCTGTTGTTTCCTATAATAGTATGGCGGACGTATGGTTCTAGTTGTTAACTTGTGGGTAGTCTCATAGATTACAGCGCCGGCTACTGGCCTTGGTTATCGAGTATTAGGCGAGACTCGGGATCCTAAATAGTAGGATTTTTATATATCTTACAAGTGTGATCTCTCATGACTTGGGTCACGTTTCTGTCCTATTTGTATGTTCGTCACTGATTATTTTATATGTCATTTTTAGAGGTAATAAAAGTTATTGTACTTTGACATGGTAGAATATGAAAATATGAGCAAACAATATTCTTGAAAATATTTCTGCAAATCACTATCTTTAAAACCCAGTACTGAACATTAAACATTAAAATAGTTTTGTAGGCAAAATGAAAAAAAAAAGAAATAAAACTACTGTAGATTACATAGTTTGCACATAACGCATAAAATACGCAAACTTATTAGTCCTCCCCAATATAAAAAGTCGCAAAAGTTTTGCTCTATCCTGAGCATTATGCACTCCAAAACAGGAGTATACAATTTTATTCATCAGATTTGCCTACTATTGATTCTAGAGCCTCTTGAAGTTTTCCAAAAATTTCAAAATGGTCAGTACTCAAACCCTATCTAACAGATACGAATATCCTTCTTCTTGGTGGTATGGATGTGAAAGATTCAGTGTTTGCACCTTTGCAAAATTCGATTATTAAAAAGGTAAGATCTACTTTAAAATGGTTTTCAAAATAACCTGCATTTCTTTATAATTCGCCGCTAGATAAGCAACTTTTAAAAAGTAAAAAGTACTCCAAGCTCACTAGTGAACGCTGGACTGAGTACTTGCAATACAAACACCTAGCGACCAGAGCCAGTTAATCCTTACGTTAGTCATGCAAATTTGACTATTATCTTACTCCTAGTACTATCGGAATGAAGAACAGTGAGTTCAGTTTTCATCTATTTAATTGAGACAGTTAAATTTTGTTACTGAAAGCATGCCACATGAAAGTTGTTACTGAAAGCATGCCACATGGAACATGAAAGTTGTTACTGAAAGCATGCCACATGCCACATGAAAGCTGTTACTGAAAGCATGCCACATGAAAGTTGTTACCGAAAGCATGCCACATGCCACATGAAAGTTGTTACTGAAAGCATGCCACATGAAAGTTGTTACTGAAAGCATGCCACATCAGCGATGAATGAAAAGGAATACCGATTAATAGAAATAAAAAATACTCTCCTCCTCCTACATCCAGTCACTCTCGTTCCAAGAGTTCATTTCCCATAGCTCAGCTCAGAAGAGAGTGTCAGTGTCATGTTTTGTCACTGCTGCTTCCGGCTCTTCTTAGACATTGTGATCCTTAAAGATATCACACTTTCCAATCCCATGTAATCTACCGAATAATGTATATAATGTTAGCATTATTCTGATCTGTATATTACATTTCTGTATGAGTTACTTACTTCTAAAGGTCTAGTTAAACAATAATGATTACGGTGTCAGGGTCTTGTGTTGATGTAACGCACAAAAGTGTGTGAAATTCATCGAAAAAATAAGTGAGCAAAAAAAAAAGTCAAAAATTCTGTTTTAGTTAAACAGAATGTGATATATTCTAAACACTGCACAATAAAGAAACTTGTCATCATTTTATTCATATGCTGTGAAACTGAATTTACAGAATCATCACCGAGTTACATTGTGATGTGGTGAATTAGGAGTTAAGTTGAATGTTAATTCAGTTTTATAGCAAATGAATAAAATGACTCAATGTGAGTAATGCCAAGTGGCTTTATGTGTTGCCGTGTTTATGAGAGTGTGAGTTAGAGCATAATTTTGTGTTTTTTTCATTCAGGTGTTTTTGAATAAATATATAGAAAGATATGATGCATTTAGAGAAACAATAATCTATAAAGCTCACATCTTTTCTTATTCCATACCCAAAATCACATTAAACTTTGGAGTCTTTGTTATTAACGATGATATCAACAAGCTTTTTTGTTAGTATCAGAAGTTTATAACCAACCTATCGTCGTTATCACAGTTCCAGAGAAAAAAAAAGCCTGTCCAAAACTCCAGTTTGGTTCCGTTTCAACGTTATTAGCAGCGGACACGCCTCTGTTGTTGGCCAGGATTATCTTTTCAATCAAATCCTCCAAACCCTCATCTGTTGAAAAAAAAAAAGAACCAAATTCTGTATTCCCGATAAATACATCATACCAGTTTAAAATCTTCAAGTACATGCTTAAGTTTGCTTATGATATGGAGATGCAACAAAATGATATTGATAACTGACTGATTATTTTATGATTGTTTAATAGACGGGTAAGCTGCGAGGCAAGCGTTACACATTGATATTCTATAAAACAATATATTTGGTGATCCATCATCAATAGTGTAGCAGTTCACTTTACACTAGGAATTTACTATTCGTCTTCCTCGAACACATTTGATAATTAGCAGCATGTTTTGTAGGTGTCGATTCTATATATCCCTTTAATACGGCGGTGTGTGACATCACATTCATAAAGTGTTATAATTATTCAAGTTAGCGAAAACTGAAGTTGTTTTACGTCATAAAATTCACTTAGCTACAAGAAGAATATTTGTGTTGGGAGAGCGATATTGAAACAACTATCCGAATCATTAGATTATAAACTGAAAAATGTAAGAATAATTACAAATTGATTCGTATTTCAAAATTCAATTAAAGCTATATAAGGGCTTTCTGTGCCAGCCATCCCTAATTTAGAAGAACATTACCCACCGCCAACTCTTGGGATACTTTTTTACCAACAAAAAGTGGGACTGATGATCATATTATAATATCCCTACGGCTGAAAAGGAGAGTGTGTTTGGTGATGGGGTTAGAACTCGTGACTTACAAATTGCTACCCAAACACCCTAACCACCAAATCATGCCAGGTCCATATAAATAGAAATATTGTTTAGAGGCTCCCAGTGCTTGTAATTTCCCAGTGTGGTATTCAGGTATGATATGAATCGTATAATACTAAAATATCGGGAAAATTCAAACTCCAGATATGTTTTGCAGAATATAAATTGAACCAAAGAATAAAGAAACACAACAAATCTTAATTCACAGTAATGTATGATGTGTTTACCTACTGACAAGTTGTCACTTCAACTGCTGAAGGAGTTTAGAAGAATTCTTTTTATAACACGTCTGCACAGCACAAGACAAAATCAGACAAAGGTTCCAAGTACGGTATCCCTTAGCCATGTGATTAGATGTGATTATCTCCCCCACCCCCCAGGAAGTAAACACAGACACGGCCAAAGTGATACAAGTGCTAACCGCAGCCATATGTAACCTTTACTTCAGTAAAATAATTAGCACATGTTATGACCTTTCGACATACCACTTTGAAGAAGACCTGTAGGAAAATTTAGAAAAATTATCTTAATACACCTAAATATAGATATAGGCTAAACTTGTTATGGAAAGGAGAAATTAGAAGCTAGAAAAACATTTGATGGGATGTTTTAATAAAAAGTGTTGCAAAATATTAATTCACTGAACGCGAATGTCTTTTTTTCAGTAATTCATACTGTTTTAGTGAAATCCATTTAGTACAATATTTTTATATCATTCATATGTTTGTAATTAAGTATAAAGCTTCACAATGGGCTATCTATGCTCTACCAGCCACGGGTATCGAAACCCGGATTCTAGAGTTGGAAGTCCGCATACATACCGCTGTGCCACTGTGGGGGGCATATTACTGACGCAATAACTAAATAAAACGTGTCAAAATTTAAAACGGACTAATTCAATGCTTTAGATTTATTCAAATTCATAGTGAATATCATCCTTATGTTAAAACAGAAGAAATACGTGTTTTTAATTAAGATAACTCTTAAAGTATACTTGTATTATGTCACGGAAATGAAAGATAATGTTGTAACGTTGTTTTTTCGTTGGCGGTTCTTTTAAATTATCTGGTGAAAATAATCCTGTCTATGTAACGATAACAAATTGTAGTATTTCTTCATCTAACGTTTACAGACATGCCAATGTAAAGATAAACTTACTTTTGCAACTTCACGGCTGATCGATCCAGTAACTGAAAACAAAGCACTTACTGATTTACTGATACGGACTTAACTAGCTAAAATTCTGGGTTCGATTCCGAGCGGTGGACACAACAGATAGCCCAATGTGGCTTTTCTCTCAAATACACATACACACAAAGACGTCAACATTTTTAGAACTGTCTAGGCATACTTTATTAAACTTTTCAATCTCAACGTAATGCACCCTCAAGCTCATAACGCAAAAAATATAGTTTATATCAATACTCAATGTTTGGAGGTTTTGAATTTAAAACTTGAATATTTAGCAATGATTATCCAGACACTCAAACCTTAGACTATTATCTTATGATTTTTGTCGAAGTTTAATAAATGAGGAGTAAAAGAGCTTCAGTTTAAAGTATCTTCTTTAAATAACTTCTGAAAGCCACCTATATATAATAAGATTCAATGTTTGTGTGTCACATAACTCTTCCTAAACCGCTGGTCGCACCGACTTCTATGTGGTACCAAACGAACTGTCTCGGTCCTGACGTTTGTACAAAGGTAAAATTTTTACCCAACCTTTAAGGAAACCCGGGTATTTCGCGAAAATTCTTTTACGGGGACTCCCCCAAAGCAGGCTCCAAATTTGGCATTGATTGACATTGGAGTACGTAAATATGTAAGCCTAGTAATTACCGTTCGCAAGAAATTACATTTCCATTATAGCAGAAATGATCATTAAATTAAAAAATGACATATAGTATATTTCAAGAATTAAATTTGCGGCCCTGTAAATATGGGCCATATGCCTACGGGTTCGAGAGTATATATATATATATGTGTGTGTGTGTAGATTAACATGCTTCTTCAGCTGTTCTAACAATAGTAGTTTACTTGCTTTTTCACATTTCCTTGTTTGTTTATAGTTAAGCACAAAGCTACACAATGTGCTATCTGTGCTCTGCTCACCACGGGTATTGAAACCCGGTTTCTAGCATGTTAAGTCGGCAGAATGAAAACAAGTTTATCAAATGACATAAAAAT